TTAACACAAATTCCTCTGCTTGCCCCTTCATCCCTAGAGTGTTGAATGGCTCTCCAGTATTGCTAGTGTCTGGATGCCTCAACGTTCCTTGTTTGTTCCTATGACTCTGGCCAATATCTACGCGTGGTCCTCTCAGTAAAGTGCCTTCGCGAGAACCATCTGCAGTGAATTGTTTCCAGCTGGCATCTGACTAATGTAGTAAAACCTTTCTTGGTATATGCGTTTGCATTTCAGCAACTTTTCTCATAATCCCTTTGCCTGAAATCCCTTTCCTCCCACCTCCATGTCTAGCTGTCCTTCAAGGCCCTCTCAAACACCACTGCTCCTGAGTGTCCCTAATCCCCACACCATGGAAATCTCTTCTCTCCTTGAACTCACTCAGCACATACTTGAGAGTGATTATCTTTCTCTGCTTTAAATTATAGTGACTTATGTACATGTAACTCTGGCCAGTTTGTAAATTCTTTGAAGTCTGAACCCACACCCAGGTCTGGTTTGTTTTTGTTTTTCTCCCTCTCCTTTGGGTTCTTCCCTGAACTTTGCCTCTTTCCCAAAAAACACCTGAAACAAGGCTTTGTACCAAATGGCCATTCTATCATTTTTTTATTACTTTCATTGCTACTTATTGCTGGTTCTTATTGTATTACAGTAGATACCAGTTACTGATTTATCACAAAGTATGATTTGCAAAAAATTATGAAAATTATGGCACAGACTAAAATTTCCCATTGGTGATAATGCATTTAAAATATGCAATCGTCATTCACCTCTGATTTTATATATATATATATATATATATATATATATATATATATATATGATAGGGGATTTTATTTTTATTTAAAAGTTTCCAGGTGATAAACCTGGTTTTCTTTCAATATTTTTTGGGGGGTATCAAAGAAAAAAATTAACATATGGGCAAATACTCATTTGTAACTGAGGCTATCTCCAACTTGGAATCAGAGTTATAGAGTTATCTTCTAATCTGGTCTTTTTAAGCTCTATTCTGAGAAGCTCTAAAGGGTCTTTCCAGGAGTGGGTATAGATTGAGAAGTCCTCAGGAGGCTTTCACTGGAGGAAAGGCTTCCAGTCTTTAAAAAGAGTGAGAACAGCCCTAACTTGTTTGGCTCAGTGGACAGAGCGTCGGCCTGCAGACTGAAGGGTCCCAGGTTTGATTCCATTCAAGGGCATGTACCTTAGTTGTGGGCACATCCCCAGTGCGGGGGTGTGCAAGAGGCAGCTGATCAATGTTTCTCTCTGATCGATGTTTCTAGCTCTCTATCCTTCTCCCTTCCTCTCTGTAAAAAAATCAATAAAATATATATTTTTTAAAAAGAGTGAGAACAATTTCTATAATCTCACCTCCCACTCCAAACATCCCCACAATGTCCCTCTGTTTAGTGGCTAAGTCTCTGCTTAAACATCACTAACTGGAAATTTACTCACTACATAATACAATTATACAGTATGTTTTTAAGCAACCCTAACTTTGGAATGTTCTATCTTATATTTGGCTGCAATCTGGCTACTCATCATTCTCTTACTTGAATCAATAAAGAATATATCGAAATGCACTTCCTCAAAATGGCAGTACTCTGATGGTGATCATATTGCCACAAATCTCTCTTTAGGCTAAAATCCCCTTTCCTTCCAATGGTCTTCATAGGATATGTTTGAAACACCCACTTTGGTCACATGTTATTTGTCAAAATTCCTCTTAAAACATGATGCCTTAGAACTGAAAATAATTTTCCTGATGTATATTGATAAGGGCACAATAGAGTGATATGATTTCCTTTATTTTGGGTATTTAAAAGCCTGTTACAGTTACTGCAAGTATCTAGTCTGGCACGTAAGGAGCTTATAAGTTGCCACTCTATTCTAAGGACAAAGCTGAAAAAGAAGTCTTCTGGGATGCAAAAGAGAAGGGAAACCACAGCACTAACAGCTGCCTCAAAGATTGGAGAGACAGGTGAGTACAGAGAATCGCAACATGCAGAGCTGAAATCACTGCAGAATCAACACTGGGGTAAGAAAGCCTGAGCTGTAATTGTTATGTAATAAGACAAGAAAAGGAAATAAAAAGTATACACATTGGGAAGAATAAAAAATCTGTCTTTACATATGAAATGATTATCTATGTAGAAAATTCAAAACAATTGACCAAAACACTCCTGGAACTAATAAGTGATTACAGCAAGATTGCAGATATAAGGTTAATATATAAAAGTTAATCACTTTCCTATATACCAGCAATGAACAAGTGGAATTTGAAACTAAAACTCTTTATTATTTATATTAGCACACCCCAAATGAAATACTTAGGTATAAATCTAACAAAATATGTACAAGATCTACATGAAGAAAACTATAAAACTCTGATGAAAGATATCAAAGAAGTACATAAATGAAGAGGTATTCCATGTTCATGAATTCTGAAGACTCAATATAGTAAAGATGCTAGTGTTTCTAACTTGGTCTATAGATTTTACATAATACTTATCAAAATCACAGCAAGTTATTTTGTGGATATTAACACTCTTGTTCTAAAGTTTACACGGAGAAGCAAAAGACCCAGAATAATCAACTCAATATCGAATGAAGAGTACAAAGTCAGAGAACTAACACTAAGCAACTTTAAGATTTACTATAAAGCTACAGCAATCAAAACAGTATGATATTCACAAAAGAATAGATACCTCAATGGAACAGAACAAAGAGCATAGAAACAGACCCACACAAATATAGCTGATTTTTGACAAAGAAGCAAAGCAAATATAATGGAGCATAGATAGTACTTTCCCAGAAGTACTTTTCAAAGACTTGCTTATACTTCATTGAGTACCCCACTCTAGAAGGGAGGCTGGAAAATGTAGTTTTACAGTTGGGCATATTGCCATACCCAACACTGTAGGTGTTCTTTTATTAAATTAGAAGGGCGGAATGGATACTAGGTATAAACCTAGCAATATCACTTCTTAGGTGTATTTTTTTTTCTTTTGCTAAATGTTTAAAAAATTGAGGCATAGTTGACATATAACATTGTATTAGTTTCAGGTGTGCAACACAATGACTTGATATTTGTATCTGCTTCTTAATCTTATATGTAATACTAGGAATTATTTTTAAGTCACTTTTCCACCTTATACTGGTATAGCTGATTTCCCCCCCTCTTATAAAACTAATTACATACCTCATACTCATCTTTTTAAATTGCAGTATAGCGTAAGATCTTTTTGAATCTTAATTTGGGCATCAATAGAGCAAGCTATCCCTTCTACCTTTAGGATATCTGAAAATTAGAAAATTATGCCAAGATCCTGATAGAAGAGACCACCTTTGAAGTTAATGTCAGCAGAATGGAATGCATAACATCCAAGCTATATTTCTTCATCTTTTCACAAGGATGTCATAAAAATTTTTATCAAATGCTTACTTAATTCCAGGTGTTCTTATCTATATCTATCTATATCTATCTATATCTATATCTATATCTATATCTATATCTATATCTATATCTATCTATGTCTATATCTATCTATCTATCTATCTATCTATCTATCTATCTATCTATCATCTATCTAGATATATGCCATAGGAAACAATGGAACACTAGAATATTCACTGACCTGAAAAAATATTCATGAGGCATTTTTTACACAAAAATAGACATGCTTAGAGAGAGAAAAGGAGGGAGGGAGGGAGGGAGGGAGAGAGAGAGAGAGAGAGAGAGAGAGAGAAAGAGAAACACTTAAGCCATTTCGGACAGGTTACAATTCATTTTATATTACATTTTGATAAGAAAAAAGGATAATAAAGATAACTGATTTTAATATATCTTATTGATTTTCTACAGAGAGGAAGGGAGAGGGATAGAGAGTTAGAAACATCGATGAGAGAAAAACATCGATCAGCTGCCTCCAGCACACCTCCTACTGGGGATGTGCTCGCAAACAAGATACATGCCCTTGACCGGAATCGAACCTGGGACCTTTCAATCCGCAGGCCAACGCTCTATCCACTGAGCCAAACCGGTTAGGGCAAGATAACTGATTTTAAAAAGAGAGATTCTTCTAGAAGCATTGTAGAGAATGGGTTTTTTAAATGTAAGACTGAAGGCTAGGAAACTAGGAAGAAAGATATTGCAGTTATCTAAATGAGAAATGGAGAGAGCTCTAAAGCAGTGACAGTGGAGGTGGAGAGCAGACAGATTCAAGAAATAGTTAGAAGGCAGAAGTGGAAGGACTTGGTGATCATTTGAGGTGGAAAGAGAATGAGGATCTAGAGTGAATCCCAGGTAAGAGTGGTTTCTAGTGAATCAAAGCACCCAATTGAGTTATTAATTTGGCTGAGGTAAAAGGAGAGAGAGAGAGAGAGAGAGAGAGAGAGAGAGATTTTACTCATAAATCTGTAATTAGGGCAGGACTTAGCAAGAGTCTCTCCACTCTGATCCACTTCGCATCAGCTTGGGGGTGGTTTAGAGGTAGGGATTTGGGGGACCCGGAATTATCTGAATGTGTGACCTCTCCCTATGTGTTTCCAGCATGGTGGCTAAAGGAATTCTGAGGTATTGAGATAGGTAGAGGCAGATGATAGGTGACAGATAAATAGGTGATAGATAGATAGATAGATGATAGATAGATAAATAGATAGATAGATAGATAGATAGATAGATAGATAGATAGATAGATAAATAGATAGATAGATGATAGATCGAGAAGAGAAAGGGAGAGGACAGAGGAAAGGTGGAAAGCATTGCAAGGTGACATGTTTTCATGCTGGCCATTGCTTCACTACGAGCCCAAAGAGACACAGTGAGTGGCTTGGTAGGTGGGTGTGGTGCAACCACTTGGGACATCTCCAGAAAAATGATATATGTAATTTGTTTTTGGAAGCAGTCCATTAGATGGAGAAAGGAGGGGAACTTTATTGACCAGATCCCTCTTGTATCAGTTTTCTATTACTGTATAACAAAATTACCACAAACTTAATGACTTAAATACCATTAAAATATCCATTTATTAGCTCACAGGTTTGTGATTCAGAGTATGGCATGGCTGGGGCCTCAGCTGGGGGTATCGTGAGGCCCCAGCTGAGTGTTCTTCTGGGTGCTCTGGGGAAGACTCCACTTTTCAAGCTTATTCTTGTCAGCAGAATTCTGTTCCTGTGGTTCTAAAAAGGAGGTCCTGTTTCCTTCTTGGCTGTTGCCTGGGGCTTCCTTCAGCTCCTATAGGCTGCCCACATCCTTTGCCATGACTCCTTTCTATCTTCACACCAATAATGGTGAATCAAATCCTCTTGAGCTCCAAATCTTTAACTTCTTCCCCTAAAACCAGCTACAGAAAACTCTTTGCTTTAAAAGTATAGATAGAATTAGGTCAAGCTCACCTGGGTAGTTTTATTATCTTAAGGTCAACTGAAACATAGCCTAACGACAGGAGTAAAATCCATTATATGATATAGTCCCAGGGAATATGCACATCAGGTACACCAGCCGGGCGGGAAATCTTAGGGGCCATTCTGCCTACCACCCCTCCCATCCCTAAATCTGATTTAAAAGCCCATGTTCCTCCTGTTCTTCAAAGCTGCTTGATAGTATATTAGACCAAGGTTGTTTGGGGCTGACAGTATAATGTCAACAGATGCGAGATAGAAATGAAATCATTCCACTTTGGTTCTGCTTCCATGACTTTCATCCAGAAGAATGTTCTGTGAATTCTAGCACATTGTGGGTACTCAATAAATATTTGCTGAATGAACTATGGATTGGATAGAGGAGAATAAATATTTGTAAGAGTAGATTAAAGGTTTAACCTAAGAGGTAAATAGATTTTAAATGATTACCTCACTGTTTCAAAAGAGATTCTTTCCAGTTCTGAATGAATTACATTCCTGAGTCCTGAGAGAAAAATAGGTGAGATTACTGCAAAACCAACTCAATCTCTCTTTGTTGAATAAGTGAGTGGACAAATTCATTTTGTTTGGTGACCTTCTGTCTGTGGGACAAGAATGCTTATTCACCACACCTCTCTCATTACCAACCATCAAAATGTTAACTTGAGAGCATATATTCTTTCTTGGTGATACTATAGGAAAGCTCTTAGAGATGATCTCTCCTACAGCTCATTAAATACTAAGCATATTTAAAAGACAATCTCTAAAACTGTGAGCTTGAGCAGTACAAGTGAGTTCATGTTAAAACACTGGAAATATTTTTCAGAAATATGTATTTACCTTATACTATACTGAGCTTCTATATACTATACATTCACACAAGTATTTTTGTATGTGCTATGCATTGTTCCATAAATGTTATAGTTTTTCTATGGCCCTATATAGATTCACTTTCAAAAATCTGGTTATAATAAACCTGTTTAATTACATATAAAACACATCCATCCAAGATTAATTAAATCAATTTTAATCTGAGAGAATTCTTAAATTATTCTTTAATTTGTGAATATATTTATGTATAAATATAATGTAATAAATTGTAGTGTGAGAACTTCAACCACGTCATCACAGATACATCTTCCTTTAGTCCAAATAATTTTGAGGATATTTTAACATATGTAATGCTTTTCTCATCCTGTGGAACATTTGTAAAATGGTAACTTAGTAAGAGTAACTTTGTCATAGCAATCAATTAGTAAGTACCAAAAGTCTATTATGAATGGCATTAGAAATACTACCTATTTCAATGGAACTTATGTGCAATCTATACTAATAAAAGGGTAATATGCTAATTAGACCGGGAGACCTTCCAGGAGACCTTTTGGACATCCTTCTAGACAAAGCCATGGTGGCAGGCGGTTAGGGGCGATGAGGCCAGGAGGGGAGGGCAGTTGGGGGTGATCAGGCTCTAACCCGGCCGCGGGGAGGGGGGGCAGTTGGGGACAAGCAGGCTGGCAGGGGGCAGTTGGGGGCAAGCAGGCTGGTGGGGGGCAGTTGGGGGTGAGCAGGCTGGTGGGGGGGGCAGTTGGGGGCGAGCAGTCCAGCAGGCAGAGTGGTTAGGGGTGATCAGGCAGGCAGGCAGGCAGGCGAGCAGTTAGGAGCCAGCAGTCCTGGATTGTGAGAGGGATGTCCGACTGCCGGTTTATGGGCCTAAACCAGCAGTTGGATATCCCCCGAGGGGTCCCAGATTGGAGAGGGTGCAGGCTGGACTGAGGGACACCCCCCCATGCATGAATTTCATGCACCGGGCCACTAGTTTACATATAAACAGGACACGGAGAACAAGGTAGTATATACATGTTTTAAAGGCTATTAGAACTGGAAGAACCTTCAGATTATACTGACCTTGCCTTTTAGAGATGAGGACCTGGAGATACAGAGAGGATAAATGATTGACCAAAGGCTGCAGAGCTGGTTTAGTGAAGTCATGAGGAACCCAGGTCTCACAACTATCTAATTCAGTGTCACTGATACATGTTACACTACAACCCACACTAAGAAATATACTTCACATACATGTATTTCTCTGATTCATGGTGCTGTTGATTATAAAATACATCAGTATTACATATACCACTAAAATGGAAAAGAGACTGTCTGGTAAGTGATAACACAGTGCTAAGATACACTGTACTCTAAGATGCATCCCAATTTCCAAAGTGTAAAAAGGTGAAAAAAAGCATCTGAATACAACTTTTACACACACATGTAAAACAGAACTTCTACATGTGATATTGTCTACTGCATTCAATTTATTGTTTCTAAATGATGTAATGAGTCCACTGAGCTCACTTTACCACCCACTAATGAGGAGACCCAATCTAAACACTAAACCATGTATTGCAGATAATAAGAAATCTTTAACATACACAACCAAGGTGCTAACTGTTCAGTTTGATAGTAAGTGCAGAAAAAGAAAAAAAATAGTTTTATGTGGATTAAAAACCACCTGCAAAGTTTTCAAATTAGAAATAAGAGTTTAGCCCTGAAATATGTTGAGATACAGAAGTGGAAGTGAACAACTGAACAACTTAAACTGGAAAAAAACCAAAACCTCAAATGTAAAAAAATAAAATAAAATATAAATCCATTCTTTAAATGAAAATATAACCATTTAACTTAAGATCTATAAAAATTAAAAGATGAAAACAAATTTGAATATCTTCCTTACAGAAAATACACAGAAACCTGAAAAAATTAGAAAACTATTTAGACAAAACTGGATGCAATATTTCCCCCCTATTCTTGTTACAAATTCAAAAGGGATCAAACAGTCTGATAGCTAAGTGACAAGAGCCTGAAAACAAGTGGCTGGACAGTCTCCCAACCCCAATTCTTCGGTGCTTTTCTTAGTCAAGGATTAATAATAAAAAAACAATAACATTTTGGAATCCCCCTCCTTGCAGGCCTTTGTGAATATTAAAAAAAATCAAACAAACAAACAAACAAAACCCCAAGGATATAATGTACCCAGTATAAAAGTTGCTGGCTGAAATCAATGATCCCTTTCACAGTGGCTCTCGGAATTGTATCTAAAGTCCCTGCAAAAAGGAAGCAAACAAAAACATACCCAGAAGCCCATTTAGCATGTGTATGTAAAATGTGCACACCCCGGTGCGAATGTAATCCCATGAAAAAAGCGTGCAAACTTGGCAGTTAGGCCATGTCACTGCAATGGTTAGCACTCGAAATTTCAAACCCTTTGATGAAGATACCATCTTTCAGCCAAGCCCTGGCAGAAAACCTTTGATTCCTGTTAGACCCTCCCTCCCCAGTCAGCTGCTGGGCTCCATCCGGAGGGACGGGGGCTCTCCCTCTCTATCATAGCTAAGCGTTCCCAGACCCAGGAGAAACCCTGGGTTTCTGCAGGGCACTCAACGTGCAGCTAAGTGTCCCAGCTCTGCAAAGGGCAGCTGGAAATGGATTTAAAATGGCAACGCGGACCAATCAGCGCCGCCTCGCCGCCGCAGACATGTAAGCGCACCTCCTCCACAGGCTCAGCGGAACCTGGCGGTGCCTAACTCCCTGCTAGGGCTGTAAAGTAGGCGTTTTTATTCCACGGTGGTCTTGTACTTTTTTTTGGGGGGGGGGGGAATTCTTCCTCGGGTGAAAGTTTTTATTTTGGAATTAATCCAAAATAATTTTAGGTTTGATGTGTGAGAATCTAAACCTATTTTGTTGTTGTTGTTATTCAAGGATATAAAGAGGCACATTTTAAAATGTACTCCACCTTTTTAAACTGGACTGAGGTCATTATGGTGTTCACATAACTCTGAAACAGACTGAGCTATAAAATTAGGACTTAGCAGAAAGGGAGTTCCTAAGGAGAAGGTGAAATCGGGGTAAAATGAAGGGAGAGTTGGACAGTTGGCACAATGGTGATGTTAGGAAGCAGAGGAGGTCCTCGCTCCGGGTAAACCCTCCACCCTGCCAGCGTCGGAACCCCGCGTGTCGCGCCAGCCGGGTAGGGCGGGGGGAGACTTCGCGTTGCCTCTCCTCTTTCCGGGAGAAAAAATTTCAATGAAGAGACTGGCGCGCTCGGCGGGCGTGTGTGCACTTTGTTTGCATGTGTGCATGTATCTGCTAATGTGCAGATACGCATCTGCGTGCATGTGTGCATGCAAGTTCGCACATGTTTACGCGTGTGTTTATGCATGCATGTGCCTGTGCAAGTGTGCACATGTATCTCCGTGCACGCATGTATCTGCGTGCATATCTGTGTGTTTGTGTGTGTGCACGCGCGCTTCGGGTCCTGCTATCTGTGATGAGGGCATTTCCAAGCAGAACAGGGCTGCCAGGGGCCAGCTCCTACTCCTCTTCAGTTCCTTGTCACTCACAGGGACCAAGGGCTCTGCGGCGCGCGCAGCTAAACTCTTCCGGCAGAGTGTTGGCTCCGCATCGTGGAGGTGCAGGTAAAGGCCAAGCCCCTAAATGGCTCTTGGGCAGTCACATTCCCGCGCCTTCCTTGGACAACCGCCCAGGGGCGACCTCGGGCGGCGGGAGGGGCGAGGCCAGCGGCGAGCCGGCTCTGGATCGCCGGCCTGTCCCTTTAACCTCGCCGCCGGGCGGGAGCACGTGAGCGCTGCTCCGGGTGGCACCCGGGCGCCGCCGCCGCCGGGGCAGTTGTATTTAGAACGCTGCCTCTGGCCCACGGCCAGGCGCCTCGGCTCGGCGGTCCGCCTGGCCTCCCTCCTCCTCATGCTTTTCCTCCTGCGCAGCCCCCTCCCCTTTATCCGCCCACTATTAGAGGTGGGCACTACCCCCACCCCTATCCCACCGCCCCCTCCCCAAGCGCGCGCGCGCGCACACACACACACACGCAAACACTTACATTCATCCCACTTGAATCCTGGGGCAGGAACTCAAAAAACTTCCAGCCTGGGCAGAGCGCACTAGTGCAGACGCAGAAGCGAGCAGCCGGATCCTCCTCCAATTCTCCGGGGCCGCTGCCGCCGGCTCTCGCCACCGAAGAGGGCGGGGGGCCACCCGGTTCTCCACCCTCCTTAGCGCTAGTTCCGGTCCCAGCACGGGACAACCTCCCATCTCCATCGTTTTTCAGAGCCCAAGGGCGAATTGTATTGCTCCTCTTTATTTTTTTTTCTTCTCAACGCCGGCAGACGAGGGAAAAAAG